TTGCTCAAATATTTGACAGAGGGTCAGGCTTTGGCCTGACTTTGGGACTTGAACCTATATGGGATACGATATGCATAATAAAGACTAACTTTATTTATTCATATTGGATTCAATTTCAAGGGTAATAAAACAACGACGTGTTAGGCGTGATTCAATGGTCTCATATCCCCTAATCGGTTCGTGTAACTTCCATCGTAGTATATAAACCACCGATCACCCAAAAACAGATGGGATAAAAATTTTCATTCTTCACTTGCATCGCATTGCCTAGCTTTTATTAGCGAGATACATAAACCAGATTTTTCAATCACACCTAGCATCTATATAAAAATACTATCATGTCTTCACACGCTTCTTCACCCTCCTCACCAGCTTCTACATCCTCTACTTTGACGGAAGAAAAGTCAAACCGCACGATGGCAGATGTGAAAGATCTAGATACGGAAGAACTTATCGATTATTTACAAAGGCGGATCTAAAACTCGATGATGATGACTTTGCAATCTTCCGCAAGGAAAAGATAGCTGGATCTGACTTTCTCGAATTAACAAAAGAGGCTTTACATTGGGGCCAGCAAAGAGACTTGCAAAATTTGTCGAAGATCTCGGGCAAAAATTAAGGACTTATTCATCGTATAAATCTCTGGATGATCTGAAAGAAATGCTAGGTAAGAATAAGGTTAATGGAGAAGATATAACAAATATAAAACAGTTCATACCTGGTAAGTGATCACCTTTCGATTTTCTTGGTATTTTTTTCAACGTCGTATAATAACTTATTTTTATCTAGTGTTCGAGGAAATAGACGATAACGATAAGGCATTCAATCACTGTATGGATGATATAATCCTGAAATTATCAAATATAGAGACTATTATGGACGCCAACGAAGCAACGCGTTGTGAATTTATTTCAGCTATATTACACGCGTCGATAGCCATTACCAAAAAACATATAACTGAGGATATTTTTATCGCCTTGCAAAAGGATATTTCTGGGGAAGAATCCACGGGTCGAGTCGATTACGCAATTAAAAGTGTCGAGGATCTTCTTTGTATTACCGAAGCCAAACCACGTAATATCAGGATTGGATATGCTCAAAATTTGCCGGAACTTGAAAGTGCGTACCAGACCAATAAAAAGAAAAGAACTGCGGACCAAGCATTTGGGAACGATTATTTCGACTATCTATATGGGATCGTGTCAACAGGTATGTGAGATTTTTCTTGGTATTTAGTAAGGGAAAGACCCCGGGTCTCGCGGTTATATAATTTTTTGCTAATTATCTGATTTGTTTTCAGCCATGGAATGGCATTTCATCATATGTACACCCGAAGGGATATACGCTACGAGTAATAGCGAGCATCAAATAAACCTCTCCAAGACAGCAATCAAAGAAAATCTTGACGTACTTCGAAGCAGGGTGAAAAAGGTAGTCGGGATAATTGTTGAGTTACCAAAAGACCGGATCAGCGTTGATAACTCGCCAGCCAGTAAGAGATCGAGAATCAAAAAAATTACCAAAAAATAGTTTTCCCGCTTCATATGTACTTGTAATTTATTTCATAGCAATAAAGCATTCAGACCTAAATGGTTGTTTTTTCCGATGATTTATTTTGTGTGATAATGGGTGTTTTTCATTTAAGATCGCTATCCGAGATTCATTCAAGATCACTATCCGAGAATACTTCGAGGAGATTAGTGATGATGATAAAGCATTCAAACACTGTATGGAGGACATTATCTTAAAACTTTCGAACGTGGAAACCATAACCGAGGCAACGCGCTGTGAATTTATTTCAGCTATATTACATGCATCCATCGCCATAGCTAAAAATCTCACCTCTCAAGATATATTCATTATTTTACAAAAAGATATTTCTGGTGAAGATGCGACAGGCCGAGTAGACTATGCAATCAAACGTCTGGAAGAGCTCCTCTGTATTACCGAAGGGAAACCACGTAATATCAAGATTGGATATGCCCAAGTAAGTCTGTTCGTCTTATCAGTCTATTAGCTTTGAAATGAGAAGACTAAAGGATAATGTTTTTATCTCTTAGAATTTGGCACAGCTTGAAAGCGCATTTCAGACAAATAAAAAGAAACGGACTGCGGATCAAGCGTTTGGAAACGACTATTTTGACTACATTTATGGTATCGTGACCACGGGCACGGAGTGGCACTTTATCATATATACTCCGGACGGTATTTACTGTACAAGTGGTAGTGAATACCAGATTAATCTCACAAAATCCGCCATCAAAGAAAATCCCGAATTACTTCGTAGTAACGTGAAAAGGGTAATAGGCATTATTGTTGGGTTATTAAAAGATAGGGTTAGTGTTGATAGTTCCCCAACTAGCAAGAGGGCCAGAATCAAAAAATTCATCAAAAAATAATATGTATCGCAGGCTACGTTCTAAACTTTGTATTTGCATGTATTATATTTTACTAAAAATGTAAATTACAATTTACAATAAACAGGATAAGCTAAGAACGTGAAAGGGAAATTAGATTCTGAATTTTGTCAGTTATTGGACCCGTTGGATTATTATAAATCCAGTATTCAACTCGTTCAAAGATCGATAATGCCGTATCATCATAATACTCGATATGATTGATATTGCAACTGCACTTAAAGTCAACTCGCGATCCAACCAATAGCTTTTTGATTAATCCATCAACTAAACGGCAATCGGAATGGGCAGGAGTGACATACCCTTCCGCAAAAACCGCATTGCAAAGACCTTGTTCATGCTGTGAGATACGGACTTCGAAGTCACAATCTTCATTACCAATATCAAGACCAATTTTGTAAAGTTCCGGATAATTTTGAATATCTAATTAAGTTAATTGTCATTAAACTATACTTAATTTTGATGTGTTTCATTTATATACTTACCAACTCGGTGCATTACGTAAAATATGCCTCCTTCAACAGGGCGCTTAAGATCGAGACTACGATCCGTAAAATAATTGGCCAAATTATTAATGGATTCGTCAGTTAAAGATGAGCATATAGGAAGCGATTTTAAATAGTCTTTGGCGTGAATTCCAGCGACAAACCTGGGTTTGTCATGCTTGCTACATACTGGATAAGTCATATATGACTTTATCCGACACCCCAAACCACACGTCCTATCAGTAATAGGATCAAATGCTTGGCAAAATCCTTTACTATCCCTAGCTTTATTAAGGAAAAAACATTACTCATGAAACATTGAAGCTATTAATTAATGAGTATTAATCAAACATACGTGACAAAAACTTTATTCTACTATTATCGTAGTTTCTTCCTATTTTAGTCTCGAAAAAGTCGCGTGAAATGTCATTGTCTTTAATCGAAGAAAACGTACGTTTGCTCATTGTTGTTAAGGTAAAAAAAAGTAAAGCGATTAATGAAAAAATATCGCGGTTTTGTTTATTTATACATGACCACGTGATTTATGGTAGGATCGGCATCGTGCATGAATAGAAACGCGTCCAGAAAAACCGACGTGCAAAATCTCGCGTTTATAAATACATCCGTTATCACATGATATTATCCAATCAAATTAATTTTATGTAACATAAGTGCTTTATTCCTCTGTTTTTTGGACCATACGCTTTCCTCTTTATGCGTTTATTCATCCAAATTTACTATAGTATAAAGGTAAGTCTTCGCTTTTTCTTAGACAATATACTCACCTTTTCTTGCATTTCTTTGTCTAGATTTACCACGTAATAGGGTAAGCTTTCGTCTTATTCCCCTTTTTGCATTTCTTTATCTAGATTTACTATGGTATAAAAGTATTCTTCGCTTTATTCTTCTTTGCTTTTTTTAGACTATGTACATTTTCGTTTAAATTTATATGGTATAAAGGTAAATCACTTTATTCCTCTTTTTTTTTTGAACTGCATACTTACCTTTTTTTCATCTAAAGTTACTACGGTATAATAGACTGGTGAGATTCGAGAGCTCAGTTTCTGTACACGTGATTTGCTGGTGACTGGTCACAAATAGGTTTTACGTTTCTACTTGGATAATAGGTTGACTTTATATACTTTTAGGATCCTTCGCCGTTGGTTGGGTAAAGCTTGGAAATCGTTGGGTGGAGCTTGGAATCCGTTGGGTGGAGCTTGGAATCCGTTGGGTGGAGCTTGGAATCCGTTGGGTGGAGCTTGGAAATCGTTGGGTGGAGCTTGGAATCCGTTGGGTGGAGCTTGGAAGCCGTTGGGTGGAGCTTGGAAGCCGTTGGGCGGAGCTTGGAAAGGTGAAACCTGGCGGTGGATGTGTGAAACCTGGCGGTGGATGTGTGAAACCTGGCGGTGGATGTGTGAAACCTGGCGGTGGATGTGTGAAACCCGGCGGTGGATGTGTGAAACCTGGCGGTGGATGTGTGAAACCTGGCGGTGGATGTGTGAAACCTGGCGGTGGATGTGTGAAACCTGGCGATGAACTTAGATATGCTCAAGTGAAAACGGAGGTTTTCGACTTAGAATATGAATATGTTTATGGAGTGTTTATGGTATTGTCACGACAGGTGAGATTTTTTTCAGCATTATTTTTTCGATTTGTGCATTACTAGCGCATAGTGCTAATTTTCTGTGTAAACAGAAACCGATTGGTATTTCATCCTTCACAGTACTGAAGATATCCACTGTACGAGCAGAACTGAATATCGAATCTCACTAACAAGAAGATGTACTCAAGGACTCAACCGAATTATGCAAGAATGTGAAGAGGATTCTGGAGGTTAATTATAGTGGGGATAGGGTATCAGCTAGTGAGGAACCTGCAAATAAGAAATGCCCGTATAGAAGAGGTAATCAAGAAAAATAGATTTACGGGGCGGTATAAGTCCGCAGTCATTAGCATAGATAATGAAACTTCGACATGTATTCTAGGCAATGTCCCGATCTTGTATTTATTTTTACATGTATTAATAAAAATCAATAAAACAAAAGCAATTAATTCATATCCTAGTTCTTTGTGATTATGATTGTTTACCGAGATGTGTATACCATCCTTACTCCGTAAGTCAATTTTGATTGGATGATCGTACAAAAGCCACTGATGCTGTAAATCGCTATTATTTTCATACATTGGATAATCCTTCCCATTGTAGCGACAAGTTTTGAACCAATTTCATTGAACACTTCAGCGTATATACAAGGAATAATTTACTTCCTTTCACTAGTGCCAACACGACGAGTACCCATAATACTGAGCATCAGGAGTGTGTTGATAATCTAATGTGTAGTCTTAACCTGCTATCAATCTGTGTTAATAAGTTCATTGAGGAATATTATCAGAGTTTATATGAAAAATTGCTAAAGCTAGAATGGAGAGTGTTTGCACCAAGGATATTTGGAGTCTTCCCTATGATCACAATTAACTCAATACAATAAGCGATTTTCATTGAAATGAACATGACGAGCCAAATAGTCTATGTTTCTTGATAGTTCTTGATGATTTCAAGGGGGGTGAACTGTGTTTTCTTCAACTTCAAATTGTGGTTCCACTTCATCCCAGACAAATTATTGCTATCTCCTCACATCTATTATTGCATGTAAAGATGGGTCCCTAAACTATTTAGCATATAAAATTTTGCAGATCAATTATGTCCCTTTTGAAGGGACATAATTATTTATTCATTACTTTAATAGGGATATAATTCAAAAAACACTTGAATCAAGTGTTCTAAATTGCAAAAAACCTTTGTAGGTAGTTTTTTTTTGACCTTATATTTAAAAAAAACTTTTTTAATAGTGAGGGACATTTGAATTATGTCCTCGCCTTTAATTTAGGGACCCATCTTTAATTGCATGGTAATAATCTATCTGTCGTGAAAGGAATCTGTTATAGCATCGTTTATTTTGTTCACAACTCATTCTTCCATCACCAGCAGGACTTCTCTTTGATATACAATGATCTATAAGCGGAAATTGAAAGAGATGCTCATGGGTTGATTGTTTCTATGATTCCCTGGCAAGATCTCAATGATGCACGAGATCTGAATAACTGAATCGAACTCTCTCAACTAAAAAAAAGTCAAATTGAGATTTCTGACAAGAGTTGTGATAAGAAACGAGGAACTATTGATAACTATATTTTAATTATAGTATACTATATATATATTAATTATAATTGCTAATTCTTTACAGATTTGACGTATACTCGATTGGGCTTAAAGACTGAAGATTCTCTACCCAATACAATGAGTAGCATAGACAGTCTAGATTATTACTTCATAGTTACAGTATATAGTTACAAAATATATCTATAGAGATCTTATATCAATTTTTTAATGTAAATATATCATAATTATCATGGGTTAATAAAGATTTTTGCACTTTTTTTCAATATATTCAGAAAAAAAATGTGACGTTATCTTTATTTGTAATACATTTATATCTATTTTTCCAGACTATTAGACTTGCAAATTTTTTTTATTTGAATATATTCATATCTTATTTAAAACAATGGAAAATACAAAATTCAAGTTAGATCTATTGAAACAAGAGAATGCTAGGCTTTTGGCTAAAAATATTGAACTTAGAAATGAGAATACCAAATTAAGACAAGATATAGAAGGGCATAAAGTTAGAATCATGAAGCTAGAGCAAGAAGAAAAAAGTATTACTAATGTTTTACAATCTTTGGTTAATATCAACTCTTTTGAAATAGAAACTTTTAATGATACTTTTATGTTCAATATAATCAATAATACTTCAAATTCTAGCCATTCTATAACTACCTTTGATGATGATGCTTTTGCATTCAATATAACAGCTAATATTTCAAATTCTAATGTATCTAGTAATGCTTCAAATTCTGATATATGCCAGGAGACAAAGACTTAGCCAGAGGTTTTGATTATATCAAGATATACTATATCACCAATTCACACAGAGACTAAATCATTAGAAGAAAAGAAAGAAGATGAATTCCTGGATTCAACATATAAGAAACAGATTAGTAATAAGATAATTCAGAGCATTAGAGAGAAAAGGTTTCAGGATTAAGAGATATCTTCGATTAATCACAATACTTTAATCAACAATAATCAAAATATTATTACTAATTATTAACTGTATGACCCCAGGTTTTGCCCTTATATACCTAAAACTTCATATAATCCAGTATCTCATATTAATATAATTACGAATGATTTCATATAAAAGAATTCAATTCAGAAAGATAATTGGATCGAAATGAAAAAATTTATACAAAAATTATATTTAGAACCTGTCTTAGAGAAAACAATTGAAGTTATTAATAAAAATAAAGAGTCAGATATATCAATTCACTTTGAAAATGGTAAGCATATAATCATTAAATTGGCTTGTTTGTATTAAAAAGCAAGGAAAGCTAAAAAGAATACTGTATATACTAAACAAGAAAAGATTTTAAGTTGGTATTATTATGCAAAAGATTTCAAAAAGAGTGTTAATAATATCTTATTTATTTGCCAAGATAATAAAAGAGCAGATAACTTGACAAGAATTCAAGTTTATAATAAAATCTAAAATTGTCTTTTTGGTATCTCATATAAAAATTTCTGCAAGCAAACTCAAAGAGCTTATAAGATTTATAAATTATTTGATGGCATAGAAATAGAAAAAATTAAATAGGTTAAATCTTATAGTACCAACAGAATATCAAAATTTACTAACCCTCGAATTCAACATATTATAGATTATTTTGTCAATAAATCTTATAAAAAGATTATAATGAAATATCAACCACGCGACCCCAGGTTTTACTCTTATATAATTAAATCTTCTAATTCAAATAACTTATTGAAAATTGGAATATATATATATATGCCTACCGAATCTCAGATTACTAACTCTTCTAACTTGAAAACTAAGAAGGTTTTATCAAAAATCAAAATAAGTACATCATTTATTCCAACTTATAACCATGCCAATTTCCATAATAAAATGACAGACAATATCCTGATTTATATTTAGAAGATAGTAATGGAAATGATGATTATTATAGAATTATTAATGAATCTTTATGCCCATTATATAAGTTAAACTATTATAAGAATTATGGTATAAAAGGCAAATATATATATATAACTGGATTCTATTTTATTAAATGTGAACAGCATGGAATTAAAATCGAGATAACAGCATAAACATACCTTTTCACAGTCGTATTATTCAAAGTTAACTATATTAATCTGGATATGAGCTTGGTATATATTATTTTTTTATCTGTTATTATGAATTTAAAGAGCTGCAAGGTCATATAAAATGGCAATATGAATATATTAACTCTTGAATATTTGGAGTGGGAAGCTAAATTAGAATTACTAAGCATTTGTCAGATAAAACTTGTTCTAGGTTCTATAATCAATATAAGAATAAAACTGAACTTAATTCTTGAATAAAGTCTGAAACTTTTGAATTCTTACAAATCGATAATAATCTTTTATAAGACTATATAATCAAGATTTCTAAATTTCTAGAAGAAAAAGATATAATTATTGAAGTAGTACAGAAACGATTTCTTTTCTTGACATATATTAAATCAAATATATAGTATCAAAATGTATTTAAATATACTGATTTAGAAGCCAAATGTCTGATATGCAATAAAGTTTATACATATTTAAGTATATAAGGTAATTGAAGCTGTCTAGATAAAAATGATCATTATTTTCTTAATTGTCCTTTTTGCATTGATCAAAAGAAAGTTATAATTGCTATACAAAGTTTGCTGAAAGCTCAGGAAGATGTATCAAATGAAACCTATCTTTATTAGCCAAAAGCAGGCTTATGTCAATATGTTATCAAATATGGAATGGATCTTATAAAATTTTTAATTATTATAGAGGTTGAGAAAAATAGATAGGCCATGGAATATTTTTATAAAGATTTGAAAAAGATATATGTTTTTATCATAATAGAATAGAAAGAAAAGAAAATTCTAAAAAATATCGTGAATTTTTAATAGATTGGGAGAGATTGGTTGATAAAGAGTTATTATATTGTGGCATATTAAAAAGTGGATTGAGTACTGCATGGCTTGATAACCTTATGGAAGAATGGAAAAAAGTGAATGCCCAATTTATACAAATTTTAGCTAGACATTGTAATCTCAGATCATATTCTATATAATAAATTCTATTGTGAAATAATGAGCTTCACTCTAAAACATAGTTAATCAAACATTCTTTTATCTTTATATCAGATTTGTGAAATATTAAATAATATAAACTAAAAAAAAACTCTTTCCCACAACTCTTCAATTCATAAAAAATTTCCTTTTTTGGTAACGACATGAACGGTAGACAGTAAACAGCAAGAGAGAATCTCTTCCTGGAAGAGGAGTTTATCTTAGCTTTCTGCAGGATGCAAGGGGTCGATTAACTCTCTATAAAGGGGTGGATGCTTTGGGAGTGGCAAAAACCTCTTCGATTAAACTCTTTGCTTTACTGAGTGAAACCTATGTAAGCA